TTAAATAAAGTTTTATGTTATTAATCAATTTTAATAATACGCATCAGTAAAAAACATCGGTGAAATATTAATTTCAATAAAAATTTTGTAAAAACTTTATTGAGCGCGATAAAAAATTATTCCGTTAAAAAAGATTAAAATGTGGATTTTATTTTGTTTTCTTCAATTTCGAAAATGTACAATATTTGCGTAAATTTCTCTTTGTGAAGAAATATTTATTTTAATCGGAAAATATCTCTTTCTATCTTTATATTCAGGATTATTGAAAGACCCAAAAATGTCTCTATTATTATACGCGTAACGTTTATAGATTCATAAATAACAAAATTCCATAAAACAAAATTACAATAATATTAAAGTGATAGTAGTCGATGATATTCCATAATGATAAATAATACTTCTTCTTTTTCTATTAAATAACATTATAACTTGAGGATTGATTTTAATTTGTCTTGAATGGCGAATAGCAAAATTAGACAATCGCGGAATTAGTTTCTCGGAGTCAAAAGTTGAAAAAAAAAGATTAGATGCATGGGTTAAAAGAAAATGAATAAATGTCTCGATTCCTTCCTGAGTTTTCACTTCGAAAAATACCTAAGGGAGCAATGAATGGAAGAACGTATCTACGATACGAGTGGATACCTTTCAAAAGGACTCATGGGAGAATGAAGCTTATTCGTCATCCTGTCTGCCGATAGGTCGTACCAACTATCGCCATTGCGCTACCTAACACATCCTGGAGATCCTCGAGGGTGAATTCTTTCAATAACCAAAAAAAATGTATATCGTCATCCTCCGAAAGAAATAAATTTACTATGTATATGCTTGGAGCAGTGGATTTATAAATCAGAACAATAATATATATATAATAAACACACTTCTATGTTTATGCTAAATACACTTCTATGTTTCTATGCTAATCTTCATCAATCAAATATTTTTGCAAATATAATATAATCTGCCTATAATGATTAGTGATTCTATTTCCCGATGCGTAATAAATGACTTGTAAATATATTTATTCGCGAGAATAAAAAGATCTTATTATTACTAACAAATTGTTAAGAATCTTGAGTAATATTCCCAGCTCAAATAAAGTTACATGTAACGTACCTATTGTAATTTCCCACTCAACAATATAACTGTGATATAACTCATATAAGTGTAATATAACACTTGTTATAATACACTTATATGAGTTACTTCTTATATTTGATTTTATTATTATTTTCTACTCGTTAATTAATATAATATTCACTGAAGATAATTAAGAGAAGTTAAAACATACCGTTATTGATTTTAAGCGAATAAATTATCTATATATCACCCTTTGTGCTCGTTCGTTGAACTCTCATTTATTTCTTTCTGTTGCTTAGCAAAAACAAGCTGGAATATCATCATTATCATTAATTAGAATAAAAAGATATTTCACTGCAAAAACGAAATAATAAAACATGCATCTACTTGGCCAAAATACAAATAGAAACAGAATCGCAAATAATCAATTGCAATTGTTTCTCGTCTCATTAATCCGGGATTTTTATTAAAATTTATCATTTCCAGGCAAAGGAAAGGTAAGCGAAAAGTCGGAATAGATCGCAGAATGCCTCTTCAGAAAATAAATTGCTTGAATAATGGAAAAGAATCGCTTGAGCCGGGCTTACGCATTTCTCTGATCTCCTCTCCCTCTTTTCATCAAGGCTTTTAGCGAACAAGACCAACAGAACTATCCTATCGCGTGTCACTCGCACGTAACCAATCTCACTTGCGCTCTCTCGTCTTTTCGCGATTTTATGCAATAAAACTTTTTTTCGAGTTTTCTCCAACTTGAAAGTTTATTTTAGTCTTGTTGAAGACATAGACACATTCTAATTTCCTAAAAAAATTAACTCGTAATAAATATTACCCTGTGATAATATTTATTCGCAATAAGTTCTTTACAGTACTTCAAGATGTTTATTAGCATCATCATTAAATTGACGATCAATTTAATTTATGATATCATCTCATTTCAGTTTTAGTTTATGATTGTGTTTTAAATCCGACAGTATAATTAGCGTGCAGTTTATATAAATGGAAGATTTAGAATTTATGTATAAGTAAATAAGTAGAGAAAAATCAAATACAATCGAGATTAGGTGCCTAATATTTATACACGGAAAAAAAAAGATTATCTACCACAGTTAAAAATTAGGTGTGGCAGCTAAATTCAGTAGCATTATATGGACACCTAACGTCGTATTTATGAGGTCTAATTTGCATTAGCTGTGAGGCCTAAATATTATCATTGTAACAGACAAGCATTTTGCTATTATGTCGATGTATTGATCATTGCAGCAAACGTTTTCTGCGTAACAGACAATTTGGTAGCAACAGTTTTAGCAAACCATATTTAACTGTGGTAGAGACAATTTTCTTTTACACGGACATATCCGATAACTGTAGCAACTAACTTCATATTGCTAAATAAATCGATCTGTAACAGACATGTATATGCTATCACGTCCTTATATTAGCTACAGCAGGAAATCCTTTGTATGTATTAGCAAATTCAGTAGCTAATGCAATTTCAGCTAATCAGAATTAGCTGTAAACCAGAAACATTTTTTTTCCGTGTATGTAAATTTTGTACTTCCACATACAATATTTAAATATTGCACTTCCAATATTTAAAATTTACATATAAATATTAGACACTAAGATTTAATCTCCATCATATTTAACCCTTCTTTACTTATTTAAAATAAGTTCGTTATAAAGAAGTATTACTTTGTTTTAAAAAAAGAGCAAAAGTGTTACATGCAAGAATTTGATTATTAATATTTTACGTGTTTCCTATAACTAATCCTCAATTTAACGCGTCACTCAATCTGTAACAAGATTTACATACACATGTGAAAAAGTTTTCTCTATTTATCCGTCAGCACCTCGAGAATCTCTCTCGTGTAGCTTCGCTCGTGCCTGAAGCATCCACAATGAAAACGAGACGGAAGTCACGCTAAGAATCCGTCACGACTTGCGAGAGAAAAAAGCAGAGACACAACTATGGCAAAGCCTGGAGAATAAGAAAGTCGAGAAGGAATCCTAAGACGTTCAGTTTATCACGTTGCCAGTTTAACAAAGCATTCTCGTTTAACGAAGATAACGTTCACCGCGCAGAAAAGAAATCGGAATTCGTGCGACAACTTGGCTCCTAACAAGGATGACTCTCCCGTGCCAAAGAACCTAGCGAGTTTCAATTTTTATCGTTATTCCATTTTTAATTTTATGAGGTTATATAGATAGATGTTTTTATAATTGTAAAACGCATATGCATTTACAAAAATTATTTTTTTATCTTTTTTTTATCTATCGTTAATATTTTATTTATAATTATACGCAATTTGATTTTAATATAATCATCGCACAGAGATATAAGCTCTTAACTCTTCAATCTCGATATGATGTATTTAGCTTCTTTTCGAAAAATAATTTTTTTTCGAAACTTCTGTTTACTTCATTACTTATAACTTTTTTCACTAATAAAGATGATTTCTGTGATATTGTTGTGCACGATAATAAAGAAAAATTTAAGGTTTTGAGTGAAAACTGTGCAATAATTGAGTAAACGTGATATTAAAATGTAAATTAGGATAAAAAAGGCTGTTATATTTAGAATATAAAAAATAAGAAATAAATGTAGATGTAGGTTTAGGTTTAAGTGGTAGAGTAACATCTACAGTAGCTGCCAAAAGTTTTCGACCAATGAGTAATTTTAGTATATCACTAAGATAAAGAATTTTTTCAAATAAAAATATAATATGTATTAAAATAAATAATATATAAAAATATAATAAAAATATAATATATTATAATACTTAATATATTTAATAATATTGAAAATATCATAATTTTTAAATAGATAACAAGAATTTTATTAACTTATACAATAATATAATTGAAAAACAGATTGACAAAAATTATCATAAAATTGTCCTAAAATTTTTGGCTACTACTATAGCTAGTGGATTTTAATTAGCTATTAATTAGAAGATATGAATGGATGTGTGTGATTTAAAAAATTGTAAACCAAGTCCCTTTTTGGCAATATAAGCTGCAGTAATAAAATTCTTTTATTTGAAAGTTATAAATAATCAAAAGTTGAGTATACCAATGTGTTGCGCACGTGACAAAATGATATCGTATATAGCATTGAAGGGTTAATTTTTCCAATATAAAGACTCAATACAAATTTTATTTCTCTCATTTTGTTGATTGTTTTGAAAATATTTGGTTAGCTTTAAAATATTGCGTCATGTTCCACGAGTAATACGACTTGCGAGATATCGCTACATAAATCTCAGATACAATTGCTGTCTCTTAAACATATTGATTGGCGACTGCAGCGCTAGAAAATCCGACTTTTTGATTTATTCTATGGGCTACTGCCCATCGCATTGGCATTCTTCTCGAGAAGAGAGCAGCTTCGAAAGTATTCGTTCTGAAACTCAATCCGTGCAATAAGTGTCACCGACCTAACGTGCGCGCACTATAAAACCAGTCCTCCCATTCCACTACTAACGCCAAATTTAATTCGAAAAGCAAACCCGACAGATACTGTAATAAACTTTCGGTTCGTTCTACTTTAATTTTAAGAAAGCAATAACAATGAACAAGAGATGCTCTTTCTTCCAATTCGCCCGAAAAATTTATCACAGCCATAATCATAAATTTGCGAAAAGAAAAATTTTTAAGGAAAACTGTGTGGTAATATGTACATTAAATCACCCTCGAGCCGATCCCGTGAATCTCGGCGAGTCTATGTAATCCGGATTAACGTTCAGTTCAAGAGTTCGCAAGAATATTCAAAAGATGTACCAGGAGACATGCCTTTCAACGTTAACGCGAAGTCCGAGAGATCTTTCATAGTACTTTAATTCATGGTGCCTCGATGCCATTATGAGAGCGGACGTGTCCGTAAGTATCGAAACTATTTAACGTCGCACCGTGAAACTTTCCAGAGTGTCGTACTGGAGATGAATCGACTTGGGATGATGGTGGACCTCTCTCATGTCTCGGTGCCAACGATGCTGGCAGCTATGACGACGTCGAGGGCGCCAGTGATTTTCAGTCACAGCAGCGCTCACGCTCTTTGCAACTCCTCGCGAAATGTGCCTGACCACGCGCTGCGACTTTTGGTAAGCTTTCGGCAACGAAACAACAGAAAATAACGAACACTATAATGTATTTGTTTAAAGCAATCTTATATAACGCGATGCACAGAAAGAACGATTTTACTAAAACTGTACAAAAATCTAATACTGATCAATTTAATAGTGGCCAATCAACGCTGAAAAACAGTAATTAATTATTTATTGTATAAAAACACTTATTCAGTGCTTTTACCACCCCAAATAAATAATTAATGTCTTCCAGTGATAAATTGACCAGTATTAACCTTTTGCACTCGACGCATTTTTCACTAGGAGGAACCAGCAACTCCAGGCTGTTTTGATAGTATTTGATGAATTTATTACAGCTTTGACATAAAATGAAATATACATAAATTAATGTTATAAAACTATTAAATATATTTTTATGTTTCGCCCAAATTAAACATAAACAGTCATTGTCGCCTCTCACTCGTCACTCGAATTGCATTAGACCAATTGAGAGTTGCTATTCGAATGTAAAGGTTAAATTGTATTAGATTATTTCTATAAGTATAGTATCTACCAGGTATGTAAATATGAAACCGGAATTTATCAATAGATGGCCATAGCTGTCAATGTAGTTGCCGTCAGACCACGTCATTGATGCCATTTCCTTGTTCTGAATTTGACATCTGACAAAGATTTTCAACTCACAACAATACAAGTTTCATACAACAGTATAGTTTGTAATAGCGTTGAACATGTCGAATTTTGTGCCTGGAAACTACGATTTGCGGACAGCATTAATTTTCTGTTACCATTTGAAGAAAACTGCTGCAGAATCGCATCGAATGCTTGTCGAAGCTTACGGTGAGTATGCTCTTGGTAAATCACAGTGCTTTGAGTAGTTTAAAAAATTCAAAAGTGACGATTTTGACGTGAGAAACGAAGAACGTGGAAAACCATCGAAAAAGTTTGAAGACAGCGAATTGCAAGCATTGTTGGATGAGGATGACGCTCAAACTCAACAACAACTCGCGGATCAATGGAATGTGACACGAGAAGCCGTCTCCATACGTTTGAAATCCATGGGAAAGATCCAGAAGATGGGAAAATGGGTTTCACATGAACTGAATGAAAGACAGCAGGAAAACCGAAAAACCACTTGCGAAATGCTGCTCACCAGGTACAAAAGAAAGTCATTTCTCCATCGAATTGTGACTGGCGATGAAAAGTGGATATATTTTGAGAATCCTAAGCGTAAAAGATCATGGGTAACTCCAGGTGAACCATCGACATCGACTGCAAGGCCAAATCGCTATGGATGGAAGACAATGCTCCGTGTTTGATGGGATCAGAAAGGTGTGATCTATTATGAGCTGCTAAAACCTGGCGAAACCGTTAATACTGAATGCTACCGACAACAAATGATCAATTTGAATCAAGCTTTGCGTGAAAAACGACCGGAATATCAAAAAAGGCAATACAAAGTGATTTTGCTTCATGATAATGCACTATCACACACAGCAAAACTGGTCAAGGAAACGATTGAGGCGTTTGGTTGGGAAATACTTTCGCATGCAACTTACTCACCAGACTTGGTTCCGTCCGATTACTACTTATTTGCGATGGGACACGCACTTGCTCAGCAGCGCTTCACTTCTTACGAAGATGTACGAAAATGGCTAGATGACTGGTTTGGCTCAAAAAAGCAACAATTTTTTTGGCATGGCATCCACAAATTGTCAGACAGGAAAAATGTATAGTTAGCGATGGGCAATACTTCGAATAAAATATTTTTTATCATTTTCATGCAATAAACGTGTATTTTCTATAAAAAAATTCCGGTTTCATATTTATAGACCTGGTATAAGGAAGGTTTCTATAAATTTATATTTAACTAAACAAATTTATATTTAGCTAGATATAAATCTGAAAATAACTTTACTAAACTATTACAATAACTATATAGGATGCTTAAACTGGAATATCAAAGTTTTTTGCAGCACTGCTCATCATGTTTTCTACATAAATATCTTTTGATGGTTCAACAAAAATTATTTTTAAATCTGTATATCTAGCTAAATTTTTTAATATTTTAGGAAAATTATTCTTTCTGTGGAAATTATTTCTGTGGAAATTTCTATGGAAATCGCCTTATAATTATATTAAACTCTAAATCTTATAAATTATGTTAATATAAGAGAAAGAGATATACACATACATATATATAATTATGATTTTATATTAAGTATATTATAAATGTTGAGTCTCCGTTCAAATAAATAAATAACGTTTTTATGTTTTATTGAATTCAACGATTACATTAAGAGGAATACAAATCCTTTGTTTACAGGCGCAGACCGGTGGTATAGTTATGGTATCCTTCTACCCTCATTTTATCAGCTGTGGCGAAAAATCGACGCTCGAGGATGTAGCAGGTAAGCATTTACTGCGATTAACATTGTTTCGTTTTGATCATTAACAACTTTGCGATCACGAAATTTATATCCGTAGAAAAGGATATTACATTATCCACTTGTTTGCCACTAGCAACGTATTAAATAAAATTACGTGAAATTCACTCAATTGCAGACAGACACTATACGTGCTTATATGGGCTTAAAGCTCGATATTCGTTTACTGAGGTGCGTCGTTATCTCGAATTTTTTGAACAATACAATGTACACGTAATACAATTCAATAAGTTCAACCATTTCCTGTATTTATCTATATTTTTCCGAGTTCTTTCCGGAATGGAAAATAAATATGGCATTGATTAAAATGGCTTTTTCATTGATATACGAAAACAACATTGCTTCGGCATGCATAGAATGATTTTATTAAAGAATCTATAAAAAGTTAGATGTATTTATAGATACATATAGATACAAATTTGAAAATAATTTTGTTGGACTGTCAAAATAATTATGTAGGAAACTCAAGCATGAGCAATTCTGTAAACAATTTTGATATTCTAACAATCAGTTTGAGTCCTACATAATTATTTTGACAGTCCAATGAAATGTATTTTTTGTATCTAGCCAAATTCTTAGATACTTGAGCAAAAACGTTCTCTCCATATGCTTTTATCTTTTTGTGGCTTTAATCACAATGATTGTTTAATTAGATTATTTAATTAGAATCACGAAATACATCCCAAATTTTGATTGACGCAAAAATTTTGATTTTACAGCAAATTAAAGATGTAATACGACTAATAGATGTATACTACCACAGTCGTATCATTTCAGATATAATACTTCTGTACACTACCATTATCACACATTTTTGCTGAAAAATGACATCACCGACTTCACCTTGACATTATTTCGTGACTCTTCTCATTTCTATCCTAATATGGATTAACTTTAATCGCGGATTAACTTATTTTTTATCTTTCTTCAGTTTTAAGAATGAGAAAAAGATAAAGAGTAAATTAAACCGAGATTAAAGTTAATTGGTAGAAATGGACATAATTAGAGAATCTCTAATCTTCTCTACACACTCTAAGATAACTAATTAAGAAAGAAACAAAAATCGCGTTCAATTAGCTCGTTTTGTTTTTCACTAAAGTATTTTAGTGAAAAGACTTAGTCTGTCGTGACTAAGCCGCGGCTTTCAACGTCGCCGTTGTAGGGAACATCCGAAGCGTTTCTCTGCTGAAGCGTGTAAATGAGTTTCCACGTTAGGTGCCAATTCCCGCGGGTTGTTATCATATTTGCATTATTACAGGGCGGCTCAAAGTTTCGAAGATATTAACATTTCACACCGTGCCGGTAATATAAATAGTTATGTGTGTACGTGATACAATTAGATATGTATGAATCACGGGAATAGGATTTTAATCTAGCACGTAGCTTCGAGAAACTATGTGAAATTAAATTGAAACTTAAAATATACAACATTTCTTTGCTAATTAAGTTGTATTCTTTTATAACATTTCTTATTTATAATGCAAACTATAAATTTGAATTATTAAAAAAAAAATAAAATTTTACATAGGGTGATATTTTTCATAGCATTTAGTGTAGTGTAATATAGAGTAACTCCGCTATATACGCCGCACCTATCAAAAACTTAATTTATTAAGTATTATTTACTATGTTTATAGTAAACGAATTATATCAGTAAAAGCTTTGTACTGTCTACTACTATGAAAAAAATATTAGAAATCCGAAATATTTATTTTTCATATTAAAAAATAAACTTTTTGAAACCTTGTATTTTTGCTGCATATCTCATAGGGGATATATGGCTACTCATAGGGGGAAAGGGGATATATACGGCTCATGAAAAATTTACAAATAATGCAAACATGTTTAATAATACAAACATGCTTTACTATTCCACTACACGTATGTATCACATAATAACCACTAAGTCTTTTACACGTCCTACATTAATCATTTTATGTAGATTATAACTTATGATGGCGTTACTTATTACAGTGATAAATCGATTCAACTCACAATAAATTCATTAACAGTAAGAAGCTGAAATCATAACACAATATGAATATAACATAAAGGCATGTAACAGAATAGTTACGGGAAAATTACCCCCACTCCTTCTATTTTTTCTGACTTCTGCGGCGTAAATCCCAGCGCGGCGTAAGAGTTACCCTACTACTTTGTAGTGTGTAGTATACTACACTTTATAAAGTTAACTGTACATCTTTCCGCAACGAGCGAGATCGATCGTGAAACCGAAGCCATCGTGTGTGGGGTGAAACCGTAAAACCCGTAATCTAAAGTTCACACTTTCCACGGCCAAACCGCGGTTCAGAGTGCATTCTGTGAAAATCGAGTGTTTCTGCAGGCAAACATGACAAAAAAGCGAAACGTCCGTGTCGTGGGAGCAGCCAATTCCGTTTGTGGTATTGCCAAGCGGTGACAGTTTTTTATAGACGCGAATGTGAATTCTGATCTGAAAAGGGCGGATCATTCTCACTTTCTTCTCCGTGGAATTTTGCGGTAGAAGAATTACATGTAACAATTATTCGTAATTCATAATCCCCGTATAAATAATAAACGCGAGATAATAAGTTCTTTAATTTCGTCCACTTTTTATCCGCTAATCTCTGAAATCTCTCGTATAAAATCAGTCTCGATTCAGTACCCCAGAAAATTTGTAGTTTCCCTAGGATCGTAATAATCTCCATGTCCCCATTACCCGGTTTCCACATGCTTTTTACAAAAATAAGCGGATGCGGCATATATATTGCAGGCAGTAATATTGCCTTATAGTATACAATACATCTCGGGATTGTGAATATTTTAGTCCTCATTCTAAAAATTCCGTACTCGATTGAAGGTTCGTCATTTTATAAAGAAAGTTTCTCGAAGGGTGTAAAAAGACACAAAATACTAGTAAATGTAATGCTATTAATGTCAAATTATTGATAATATTTTTGAGACTTTCATGGATGTTTTCTTCAAGGAAGAAAGCTTCAAAGCAGCTACGCGGTTTATTTTATAAGAAAAGTTCTCTAAAGTGTGTAAAAAAGACACAAAAATACTAAATGTAATGCTATTAATGTTAATAAATTATTGATAATACTTTTGAGGCTTTTTTCCATGAATGTGTTTTTTTAAGAAAAAAGAGCCTTAAAGCAGCTATGCGGTTTATTTTATAAAGAAAGTTCCCTAAAGCGTGTAAAAAGACACACAAAAACACTAAATGTAATGATATTAATGTCAAATTTTTGATAATACTTTGAAGCTTCCACGGATATTTTCTTCATGAAAAAGATGCTTCGCAGAAGCTAAGTGGTTTGCAGGTTAATTCCATTAACTTCAGAGCAAGAAACAACCTGATATACAATAGTATCATCAGTTCACGAAACATGGATATTTAACAATGTATCAAGACACGGAGATAATGTCAAATTATATATGGTATATTATTAATATATACTCACAGCAATTTTTCTTATAAAATAGTAAACATTCAATTGATAACATCCTATCTAAATCTAATAATACTACGCTGACGCTTAGGCTTAGGTAGACACAGAATCATAATTAAATCATAATGATATTATAAAATCATTACAATGTCATTTGATAGTTAAAAATGAATTTATAAGTGGTATAATTAAAATCATGCTAATGTGTTTATGATATTATTATAACTATGTTCTACTTGGGTAGTATGGAGAAATGCCAAGAAAATCTTAAGTAATATAACTTTTTAGTTTACACTTTTCGTGATCCACACCATATCGATTCGACAAAAATAAAAAAAACTGCTTCATACGCACTCTCTCAGATCACTTCTTAGTAACGCGCGTTCCAATATTATTATATTTGAGTACACTGAGAGAAATAATTCGATATAAATAATTATCATTTGATATGTGAATTACAAAAACTTTTTTATTTTTAAAATAAAAAATTATGTTATGGTAACTAAATTTTGATTAAAATAATCAAATTAAAAAATTTTAATTGAAACAACACAATTTTTAAATTAATAAAAAGAAAGTTCTTATGATTCATACCAACAAAATAAAAGTTATTCATACCAAACATTTCTGACAGTATGGGAATTCCTTAGTAATGCTAATCAACAATCCACGTACACTTACATCAATGTAGCACACGTGCATCTCGAATATCGTGCAATAAAAGTAAGAAAGAGCAAATGATAATTGCTGGTCCGGACGGCCGCACATCGGACGTAGCATAATCGGGCGTAGCCGGGTGCCTGAATAATCGCTTCCTTCCGCAGACAGCATCTCTAATTGCTTTACATCGACGGCCACCGAGCCACGGAGAAAATTATGTTCGCCGAGGGAGAAGCGGGGAAGAAAATTATTTGTGCGGAACGGGAAGTGCGTTAGACAGCGGACTCGCAATGATAATTTCGCGAATTGTAATGCATTTCTCTCTCCCATGTGGCCATTGGCACCAATGTTACAATGATGATTGATTCGAGCGCTCTCGCCACACTCGCCCTTTTCCCTCATCCTATCTTGTTACCCTTTCTAGCTGGATCCCATGATGATCACCGCATCACAGGCGCGACAATCGCCCCCGGTTAATAATAACAGCTGGCGAGTCGCACTATCGCAGCTCGCAATTCCCCATTATGTTTGTCGAATAATTCCTTCTTTGTTTACCGTTTGAACGTAATTTTCTCGATTTGAGCTCACTGCTGATGAAACTGCGACCGAAAAGCACTGTCCATCTCCCGACGATGGACACGTATGTCACAGTATGTTACGGAAGTTATTTTCGATCCGTAGCCAACGTGCTATTTAAATCTTTTGTATTTCGTTCGTATCGCACTTTTAAATTATATTCAACAGGCTTCATAGATTTGACATATTCTCATTTTTTACACGGAAAAAATGATTTTGCTAAAAATTCTAAAATTTTACTGGATGCGGATCTAAAAATAAGTTTGTTGGATCAAAATAATTGTGTCGAAAATA